AACAATTGTGGATGTTAGAATGTAGGCTAAAGGCATGATTGTTTGGAAGTGCCTACAATATGCTTAAGAAATCTAACACTATTCAAGGAGCAAAGCTGTATTCATAGCAGTAAAGAACAGGGATTCAATTATACTTGCTCCCTCACAAACTGTTTCGTAACCTTTTCAGTGTTGTCTCCCTTAAAGGCCAAATGGGTTGAAAAATTAAAAAAAAAAAAAAGTTATTTGCTCAGGAATCATGACCAGCACAGTACAATTCTATAGAAAGCAAAAGCACAAGTAATTTTCTGAGTCACATACTGACCAAAGATAGCAGAAACTTAATTTTATGTTCTCTGTTTAAGCAAAACTACAGGAGTCATTATCCAAGAATTGCATTGCTCCACTTCTTTCACACCAATAGAATAAATATAATAAAAAGAAAATTAAAAGTTTTGTAGGTTAAGTGACCAAACATCTGAGACCAATTTATTATCAGCAATTCACTCCTGGGTTCAACTCAGATTTTCCTCTCACTGAGGTGAAGGATGGCAGCCAACCTTGAACACTTTTTTCATTCTATCTGCTAAACAAAAGCACTGAATCTGGTTATATTTTAAATATATCTAGGGGAGTTATTTGAAAGGCAAAATTATTACTAATTTAGGTTTTCTATATATAAGAGAGAACTACATAAATTTTACTTGCACTGTGAAAAGCAAATTGAATGCTTCCTTCTGACAGAATTTCAGCCTTAAGGATCCCCAGGTCAAAAAACTCTTGTTGTTTTCAACATGTGCTGCTTTCAATGGCATATGTAATATATTGTGTGTAAGCATTAAGAAATAGCTATTGCAAGCAGCAGTTCCTTAGTTAATGAAAGGTTTGTCTTTATCACAGTTTATTTCAATTCCCCATAAATTATATAGTGCATCTAGGCAGTTTGATAAGTCCATAAGCTGTCCCCTCAATCTCTTCACTACTGCAGAAACAGAAGGTGGCACACTTCTGTTTCCACAGCCTTTTGATCTGTAATCTGCAGGCCCACAAGTGTAGCTTTCCTATGTAAAATTACCCAACATATAGAAATTAGACATAAAGACAGCACAGCAGGGAATAGTCAAGAGTTTTATAGGGAAGTCACTTAAAAGAATCAGCAGATATATGAAGAAATGACACAAGCTTAAATGACCCAAGCTCCTGTGAGATAAACAATCATTTCACTGGTTAGCAGTGGTTAAAGGATAATAAAAAGGAAACAGCCAGTTTTCAGGCAACTAGAGTTAAGGGAGTAATCTCTGGTTTGTGCTGCCTCTCACCAGTGTGCCCATGTTGGCAGTGCAGTGGGAGGGGATTTGCAGAGTTGCAAATCTTGTTGAAGACACAGGGACTACAGGACAGGCATTTTCTGGGGAGAGAGAAGTACCTCATTTTGGCTCTAGTTTGTTCCAAAGGACAGAGTGCCTGCTAGTAGTTACAGCTCACCCTTTCATTTAGTTTTATCCAAAGAAAATACAGTTTGTGCACCCTGGATCTGCTCTGCAATATGGCCCAAAGACCTGCAAGTGGAGGTTCCAAGCATGTTCAGCTCAAAACTACATACCAAAATACCATGGTGGATGCACAGACTAATGAACTGAAAAGATTGAAAACTGAGATGGTGAAGTCTGCTTTAATAAAAATAATCATAAAAATTTCTTCATGCTTGCCAACAGTAAAATTGGTAGTCTGCTAAGAGCTCAAGCTTTGAATGAGCAATTAATGAAATCAGTGTTTAATAAGCAACCTCCACCTCATGGTTGTACAGAAATACCCACAAACAACCACTGCCCCTGTGGACAGAGCAGGCAGGTGGGTTCTAAACAAAGCATTTCCATTTCAGGTAGCTTCTTTTGAAGACATCAGCTCAGTGTTCACTGATAGTCAAACACCACACAAAAGGTAGGAAGCATTAGAATAGGATTACAGAACCAGAGCCTTTAGGCAGATGTCTGATTCTTTCTGGAATTTATAGGGAATTTTTACTGCATTTCTGGTCAGCCTATCTCAAAAAGATGTGATAGACCAGGAAAAGGTATAAGACTGGAAAACTGACCAAAGCTGGCTATTGTTCAATCTGTGAAGAAGCAATAGGGGCACAGGGAAAAAGGGAAGACTTCGTTCTAAAGCCATAAATCTCATAGAGAAACTGAATATATGAGATTATCACAACATATTTAGAATACCATCAGAATCAGAAACACCTTCTTTTAAACATTTTACAGTATGAAACAGTAGTACTTCAAGTGAAACTCTGGAACTCCTTATCTTAAGGTAATGTGAAGGTCAAACATTTAAAAAAGCGATTCAGCAGAGAATTAAACCAATTTCATAGGCCTGTAAAGAGGTATTAAACACAACAGATGTGAGTGCAGTCTTCCAATTCAGGAAATTCCACCAATCCAAAGTCTGGAGTCTATTCCAGAAGACAACTTACTCTCTACTGGTCCAAACTTTGATGGTCCTCCTAAGTTTGTACTTTAGTCCATTTTTTGGGGGGAATAGTGATGAAGTGCCTTTTATGATCCAGCACTGCTATACCTATGATACCACTTGAATGGCTTTGAATAGGTATCCCTCATAGAACGTTTTAACAGACTTTTTTTCCCCTTCTGTTTTCAAGATGAAAGGATTAAAAAAGAGCAGAATGTTTTGAAGTTTCTTAGATGGTATCAAATGTTCCTATCAGCAAAAGGGGTCAGTATCAGTTTTTTCTTGCACTATATTTGGGCTGGGTTTATTGTCCAAATGTGGTTGTGGGGGGAAAAAAAGGGGCAGGGAATAGGGAGGGACGGGGGTAATAACAAAGACGGGAGAATGAGGTTCAAAAGCATTCTAAGGTCCTAAGCTGTTTAAAGGATCCTAAAAAATCCAGCTGCTTATTTCTCAAATTCAGCTTGCGTTTTTTGGGATATAGCTGGTAAAAACATGGATGAAGGAGGAACTATCTGGGTGAAGCAAATACTATTCAGAGCTCTGGTTGTATAGAATTCCTCTCTAGTTTGCTAAACTACTCAAAATGCATAAAGAACATAACCTAGGTGTGCTAGGCAAAAGATAAAAGCCCCAAAGCTCAACTACTTGGTGCACAGTCAGAAACTAAGGTTCACATTTCAGTTGCTGCTTTGGGAAAGATTGTGTTTCATCACTTGATTTCCCAGCCTTGTTTGAGTCTAGTTTATTTTAAAATTATGGTGATTGGGAAGGGGAAATTTCACCAGAGTGCTGATAAATCATTGGCAAAAGAAGGAGATGGTTAATAAGTATTTACAGGAATTTTTCATGCTCTAAAGTGTTGCAGCTCCCATGTACTGACTTCTTAGTAAACAATTCATGTTGTTCATTTACAGCATCTACCATAACTGCAGGGAATATGCAGTTCTGCAAAACAATTCTAGTAAAGTCTGCTAAATCTTGGTACTTCCAAAAAGTAAACAGGGTAGTAAGATTCTCATAATCTTATCAACCTTCAATATATTTTCATTTTTTGAAATAAGATTGATAATAAAAAGGTTTATTTTCTGCATGATCTCTTTTCCCTCCTCCACTGCAAGCTCAGACATGAAATTTTTGGAAAACACTGAGCAATACTTGGGGGAGGGGTGGGAGTAAAATCATCATTGTCAACTGATGTATCCAAAACTAGGACATTCAAAACATCTTAATTATGTTTAATGCACTGAAGTAATGAAAAGCAAATGCAGGGGGAAAAAACCCCAGATATTCACATTAAGCTATCCATAAGTCCAAGCAATCAGTGAAACTGGAAACTAAAACTAACTTGCCACTCCATTTTTCTAAAGCTCTGATAAAATAGGTCATGGAGTTTTATGCAGCTTTTCAGACAAGTTAAAATAATTCAGTTTGTTTAAAGAAGAAACTGATGATACAATTTTATCATGGATAAAATATCAGTATGGCTCCATGTCATTAAACCTTTACTAATGTTTGCAGTTACATCTGAAGATGAAAAACAAACTGAATACTAATACACATAACATATTTTTAAGACAAAATAGTTCATCTCACTCTTAAAATTGTTCACATATCCACATACAGAGAAATATTAAATTGATTGTGCTACTTAACTTTCCTACATGGAGTGAAGAAATAATCTAACATTATGTGCTTTAATTTACTTCCAACAGCTAATCTCTTCACTTTTCTCTACTGGAGGACACTCTATTTATAGACATCAGCCAAAGATTTTGCACCTAGCTGCAAATTCAACTCAGACTGCAGTGGAGCTTTCCTACAGACAAGGTGAGAATGATCAGTGCCCTGAAAGAGGGAAAACTTTCAAGGGTAATGAATATTTTAATGACTCCTTTTTTTCAGTTTACAGGAATGAGTTTACTAAGGCTGATTTCCTCCCACATTAAGGCTCATTTCTGTCCTTGTTGCAGTTGCTTTCTTCCTAAGAAAAACCCAAATTATTTCTCCAAAACTGTTTAATTGGATTCATGTCCAGAAAAAAATTTTGTCTCCCGCAATGATGCTTTATAAAGATGTATGAGTGATAACTGGAGTTAATCCAGAATTGATAAAAAGTGTGAGAAGAATGATTGGGAAACAAATTATCATCAAACCTTCAACAGCCATCTCTAAACTGCTCACAGATGTAAATGTCTATTTTATTCCTAAATCCCAAAGGCTAACTCTTGTTGCACAGACTGGCTGATTACACACATGACCTACTCTGGTGCTCTGGATGCATATCCCAGAGATGTATTTTCAAGTATCTAAATATCTGTATAAATATTGCCTTTAGGTGTCTAAAATGGCATAACCCTCAGTTATGCCATTCATTAACTCTCTCAGTCCTTGTGGCCTTTTTTTTTTTGTAGGTTTTTTTTTTCCATTTGTTTTATTATAATATTCCTCTAGTTCTACTTTGGTGTGCTTCTAAACACAGAAACCAAATCCAAGAGAAGTCCTTGGAAGGAGAGGGGTGGATGGCAGGCAATAAGAGTCTCACATACCTCTTGTTGTGCATACCTTTGAACACTTCATTGAGAAGCTTTCCTTGGGAGGATAAAACTCTGGTGGTGGGCCAAAATACTCCTGTGTTGCTCCTGAGGTCTTAGAGTAAGCGTCTGAGCAAACAGGAGAAGTCCTTGAGTGCTGGCCACCTCGGATGTCTCTACAATGGAGTAAACAACTGATGGTTATACATTAGGTCATAGTCTCTCCTGAACATGAGAAATGAATGTTCTAATGTCCTCCTGAACATTAGAGCATGAGAAATTATCAGATGCTCCTCTCAGTGGAAGCAACTAGTTTGCTTCACAGGCATCTGATCTTTTTTTGCTTGCCTGTTTTGAAAGCAAATATCCCCAAAACTTGCATAAATCCATGTTCACAAGGATATTTGCATTCAATGGTCCTATTTTGGAAAACAGTGTACTCACTGGGTAGGCTGGCTGAACTGTTTAGCTTACTGGCAAAAGGTAAAAAGAGGAAATAACAGCTTTTTCATGAAAACCAAACAATTTAGCTAGTCCATAGCAGGCCAGATAATAGAAATGAGAGAGATTTTGGCATAATAAATGCGCAAAGTAGCACAACTATTTAATGGGTGTTTGTACTTCCAACTAAAGTCTCTCACAAAAATATCTTTTAAAAGAATAAAAGCTATAAAACAGATAAAGATTTTAAACTAGGGAAAAAATAGCCTATTCAAATTTTTGAGGTCCTTGAAGATAATTGAAGAAGAATCTAAAATCAACCCTCCTCCCCAAAAAGATCCATTTCTCCTGTCTCCAGTTAGTCTCTTCATTGATACAATGGTCCAGTTTTCTGCAATGACATAAGCTCCATATCTGAAGCCTGATGATTTTTAAAGTTGGTTAGATTTAGGTTATTTTATAGGAAAAGTGCAATTTTCCCTTTAAAAGAAACATTGGCTGCAAATTTTTTGTGTGGTCTAACAGGAATTTTCTCCCTCATTTGAAGAAGAATTGGAGCTTGCCTTTTTCAAGGTACAGCTGGATGAGTTTGTTATTAAAGGGTATTTTAAGTGTCATTCAGCATTATTATTTTTAAAAGTCTTCTTTGTATTCCTTTTTATCTTGAATTTCTTATCCACAGATCAGCATTTTCAACTGTAGTTTTGTTTCCTAGTATTGTTGCACTTCACTAAGGTTTATCTTCATCCAATTCCAGACTCAATACTATCTCGTTCATCCACATTAAATCATGTTCTTTGTAGTTCTTACATTTTAATTAAGACAATCAATAACAAGACCAATGCTAATGTCTCCATGTTTAGCTGCCAACAGCTCTATTTGGCTGAAACATTTCTGCTTTTTCTGACCTCTGTCCTGTGTCTTGTGCAACTACCAAAGCATCCTGTGCAGCTGTGTCACATAAATTAAATAAGCTGTGTGATTTATAAGACTTCCAGTAACTTGAAAGCAATCCCTTTGGTACTTCTGATGCAGCTGCTTCTCTCTATTGTTTCCTGTTACTTGCCAGAAAACAAAACAAGACAAAAAAATCAAACCAACCCCCCCTCCTGCCTCAATGTTCAGCAGCAGAGTATGTTTAGGGGGAAAAAAAAATCCTTTTTTTAGATGCCTTGTTTTCTCACTATGGCCTTTTCTGGCCACCTTTACTGCTGTTTTCCTTGAGGATTTTACCATTCTAGGTAATTCTCCTCAGCACTGGGAGGAAGGTTGCTGTAGGAGTTTCAGACAGAAATGCATTTGGAAAGAGAAATACTCTGGCTAGAAAGTCTAGTTCATCAGGGATGAAAGTATTAGGCACCCAAAGTACAGCTTCCACGAAATTCTTCCCATGTATTTCATTACAGGGTCTTCTGGTCTTCTGATCAATCAGCCAAAGTTTTCACCAAAACCCATGAGAACTCCATGAGAACCAAGCAGAGGAAATGCTGTTAGGTTAAGCCAAACTCCTTCAAAACAACTGACAGAAAAGTTTTTCAATCAGTTTTAGTGGGGTCTGATGGCCCCCAGATGCTTGACTTGACTCTAAGAATTATCTTCACGGCTGTTACAGATTTGCAACTGCAGCTTCCCTTCCTCTAATCCCTGGTGGATACAGGGATGTCTGTGAACCTTTACAGTCCATCCATCAATTTTCGATCTACGAGTCCAAACATATAAAACTAACAGCAAAACCAAGAAATCCAGAGAAGTGCTTTATTAAAAAGTGGTGGTTTAATTTATTGCTAGGATCCTTTCACACATTGCTTTTATTATGCTACACATGAAAGAAAAAAAAAAAAGCCCACATCAAATCTCCATCCCTTTTGTTTTTTTTTCTTTTTCTCTCCCTTGTGCTATTAATGTGTTACTGGCATTAGCTGCTCTCACTTCTAATATGTTCAAGATAATTTAACTATATTGCCTGCCAAGCTCTGCTTTTGCTAAGGACAGGCATTCAGCTTCTGAGGATGATTCTTAGGCTGGTTATTTTTCCAATTTCTCTCAAATTTTTCATAATTTAAGAGAGACAGGAAAAAAAATTCATTAGCTACTTTCACGATGTAATAGTTTTAGCGCTATCCAAGTGTTTTATACATAGCCATAAGTATTACTTGTAATCTGCACAGTGCTCTCCTCTGCTCCTTTTATTGTCATCCTGTTTTCCTTACTAAAATGCATATTATCAGGGAGTACTTCAGTATTTCAGCTTTTCAATAATCTCCATTATATTTATCTCCTCTCTCTGTTTGCCTTTATTCTTAAATTCCCCTGCAATCATGTCCCCAGAGACTAAATGGCAGAGATGAACACTCTGCTGCTATGGCAAACTTGCCAGTGGTGTTTGGATCTACAGACCTCTCTCCTACAGTGCAGCCACGCACTGGCATGACCTAAAAGGAAAGCAGCCTAAGCTCACGTCTAGCGTGCTGCAGCCAGGCCAGGCTGGAAGGAGAAGTGCAATATCCTAAGAGTTTATTTGGCACTGGAAACCCATTAGTTGATCTGCTCATTGTGCTGGTAGGGGCTGACCCACCCTCAAGTGCTGCCAACAGCCTTAGACACTTCAACAAGCACTCATCTATTGACAGCGACTACTGAAAGTAATTTTATTTCAGATTAACAGGAACATGTTCACAGCAACTTGAGAGTTCACAAAGTCTCCCTGTGCTGGTCTCAGTCATGTAACATTCTTATTTAAGCAGTGCATATTTGGCAAACCACAGTTTGCTGTCACCTGCTGACCAGTGTCTTCAGGAACTGTACTAAGACTCATAGCCACATTTCACCTACTTGTCACCCAACCTGATTGAGATCATCCCAGGAAATTCACATCTCTGCCTGTGTTACTCAGCCTTTCTGTCCTGTCTCCAGCTCAAAACAAAGAAAAAAGGTTAAATTTCTAAGTGTAAAATAGCTCCCTTCCAAGTGCAGTATGCTCACGCTTTCACAGCTGAGTAAAAGCTTTCTTTACTATTGTAAATTAAGCCTATTTAAAAGCAGAGAGAAGGCAGACATTATAGACCTGCTATGATCTATTTCTCTGAGAAAAAAGACGTACCTTGCATTGTGTGGGTATGGTTTTCTTGCTCTTCTGTCTTCCTTGTATCTATCAGATCTATGGTTCTCATGGCGCCGGTATTGCTTATCTTGGTATCGACTCCCAGCTTGAGACATCTTGTTTCTCAGATGTATTCTCTCCTTCTAAAATAACTTCCTGAGCCAGAGAAATAAAACCAGTTCATTTTATTGCTCCACTTAAAAGTTATTCATTGACCAGCACTCACTTCCATTAAATGCTGATTCAAAATTGGTACAGACTTCTTTAAGTGAAGGAAGTAAAACCCTTTAAACTACAAAGTAACTTCATTAAAGCAGGAAATTTTTCTTTACCTTTTCCTTTCATCAAGCAAGTGCAATGTTTCTGTACCTGACATTTACTGCACTTAGCTTATTTACTAGGTCTGCTCTGATTCTCCTGCCTTTCTGCCAGGGCAAGAGATCGTGTTCACCAAGAATTGAGTCTTGTCTTCTGCAATGTTGTGTCTCAGGAAAAGCATTAAGCCCAGCAAGTGCCAGTGCACTGCACGAGTGTGCACAGAGCTGCCACTGGCACAGGGAAGTCTGGAAGAGCAGGCTGTGACCTTTGTCCTGGGAGTTTCTAAGAGGAGGGCACCCGTGGGTGTAAGCAGAGTCACCACCACACGTTGCCTATGATTTACATAAACATCAGGTACAGGCAAAGCTGTGCTGGGCTGAAAGTAAGCTGGCAAGAAGCTATACCCTGATAATTCCGTATTAAATACCACCAGTTTGTTATTTGCTGAAAGTGTCTTTATCTTTCCAAGTGTGATACGATTAAGCCCAAACCTGTAAAATAGGGAAACAGACTTCAAACACCTGAGCAATCTTTAGGCTCATTTGCCTTCATCACAGCCCTTCATCATCCCTGCAGAAGTGTCTGCAGTCGGTTTAATTTGCACTGATCAAGGCCTGATAGCCTTCCTCCATCTCCTTTGGGCGCTATAAAGTCAACAAATATAAACATATAAAAATATGGAATAAGTTAGGATAAACATACAAAAATAAATGAATAAATTAATTTCTGTTTACATCTAAGAAGGAAAGAGACAGCGCCTTCCCCCGAGGGCAGGAGCCATTCCTCAGGGAAAGGTTCCAGGTGCCGCCGCAGCGCCACCGCAGCGACCCGAGACCCCCGTGGCGCCCCGGGGGTGGCCCTGGCGTGGGCGCTACCCCGGGACACACCGGAACACACCGGGCACCTCCCGCCAGGCACCTTCGCTCCCCCGGGGCCAAGGCCCGCGACCGCCGGCCCTCACCTGAGGGAGCGCCGAGCTCCGTCCCGCCCGCAGCAGCTCCCGGCGCCGCCGGCACCGCCCTCCCGGCCCGGCCGCCTCCCGCCTGCCCTGCCCGGGCCGGCCCTGCCCGCTCCTGCCTCGGCAGCCGGGAAAGTGAGCAGAGTTACAAAATCACAGGGTCAGTTTGGTTGGAAATGACCCAGAGATCTCTGCGATCATCAAGTCCAGTCTGCGATCCAACACCGCCATGTGAACCAGACCATGGCACTGAGTGCCGCGTCCAGGCTTTCCTTAAATACCGCCAGGGATGGTGAGGCTGCCATCTCCCCGGGCAGCTCATTCAGATGTCTAATCACTCTTCATGTGAAGAAATTCTTCCTGATGTCCTGAACCTCACCTGGCACAGGCTGAGGCTGTGTCCTTTTGTTCCGTCGCTGGTTCCGTGGGAGAAGAGGCCATCCCCCACCTGGCTACAGACCCTCCTTCCAGGCAGCTGTAGAGTGTGATAAGGTCACCCCTCTTCTCCAGGCCAAACACCCCCAGCTCCCTCAAGCGCTCCTCATGGCATGTGCACTCCAAACCTTTCACCAGCTTCCTTGCCCTTTCCTCCTCCCCAGGGAATAGGAACGAGGGCTTGTGGGGATGGGCTGGTGTCTGGGAGCACACGACAACCCAGGCTTTCTTTAATTTAGTAAAATAATGTCCCTGTGCCCTACAGTGCTGAGGAAGAATTTGGTCACCAAGGATATAAAACCTGAGGGTTAGTAAAGTTAAAATTCAATGTCCCCACAGGTTGCCTTGTTGTTCTTCTAAAGCCACTTCCATTGACTGGCAGCGTTCAGGGCAGAAAGCCCCACAGAATGGGGGGGTTCGTGGGGGTGAAGGGAAGGAGGTAAAAGACAATGGGTGAAACTTGTGCCCAGGAGCAGGTGTGTGGGAATGGCCTGTGTTGCACTAGACAGGTTGCACAGGGAGGTAAGCAGATAAACTCTCCTCTGGTGCAGAGCCATGTTTTGGATAAACAGCCATTTGAATGCATGCAGTCTCCTTCCCTGGTCTCTGCTGAAAGCCCTCCCTATGGTGTATCGGCAGGGGCTGTGTCGCCCTGCTGCCAGCCTGTGATGTTTCTCTTATAGAGGAACAATGCGCTGGTCTCCTCAGGATGCCTTCTGTTGGTGTTTATAATCTCTTTTTGGAGAGAGTCGGGACAGGCTCTTGAACCGGAATCACAGCAAATGGCTTGTTGGTTGTGCAGTCCTGTACACAAAAGCAGCCTGTGCCTGGGAAACAGGATGATGGTGTTAACACGACACCGTGCCCAGCTAATACTGAGCTTTGGAAAGCTTCCCTATGTTGTGGCACTGTCCTGCACAAAAGCTGGGAGCAGGAAATCCCTTTCCTTCCAAGGGCTTTCACAGCAGCAAGCTCGGGGTACCAGTGATTTGTGAGTTTGGTCTAAGATATGTAGCCTTTAGTGCAGTCCCATGGCAGAGGTAAATCAAAAATCCCCTGTAAGTAACACGCAGGTAACAGAGGAGCTGCTGTCCCTGAAATGAGGAGATAGCTACAGGAACTAAATGCTCAAAGTACATGTTTTGAAGTGTGGCAGGAGTGTGATTCCCTGCTCTGGCTGAGCTGTGTTAACAGCTTATTTTGCTGTTTACTGTTTTCACCTTGCCTAGACCTCTTCTGCTTTTCCTGCTTTTAGCTATACACTTCATCTTCTTCTTGCTGTCTTGCACCAACTCTACTGCTTGCTTGATCACATAATAATCCAGTTCTGCTTGCTTTCCAGCCAAAACCAATTTACTTTCTGCTGTTTTAGTGAGTTGAATTGGCTTTGTGCTGCAATCAAATGTGCACTGGAGCAAAGACTTGGCAGAAGCACATGTCCCACAGGGAAGAAACTGGGGGAGGGATGGGGGAAGAGGGCTACCTCTCTTGGCAGCAGTGAGTGGTGACTGTAACTGAAGCCCTGATGAGAAGTTGCAGTTTGAGACACCACTACCATCAGTTGCTATGCCTTCTCAGTTTGGGGCTGTCATCTGGCTAGCAAAGGCAGCCTAACAGCAGGAGTGTTTTACTGTTTCATAGCTTTGTTTGTTTCTAATTCCTACTGTTTCTATTTAAAAGTTGTTTAAGCTAGTTTGGCAGATTTTACCCCAAAGATTAGGGTGCCTGCATGAACTCTGTTCTCCTGTCTAGATAAGAAATATTTGGGAAATCGATTCACCATTTGCATCCAGCAGAGGATATCTACTCTTGATGGAGAGTATGAGGAATTACATCTCTCTTCTGGTGGCCAGGTTTCACACAAAGTTGAAAAATCACAAGGAGTCATGGCTGGAAATAGATTTTTTTGTAGGGGCTGAAATATAAGAGTATCCTTGACAGCCACTGTTTGCAGTATAACTAGTAGTTCTGTTAAAGCATTTCTCCTTCTGGGCTGAAAGGGTTCAGGTGTGGCCCATTTTGGTTTGGAAGACTGGGTAGAACTGAAGGGATGCTATTATGGACTGGGTAGAATTCAGTGAAGCTGGTGGGCAAAGTAAGTATTTAGAAGAGCCTAAAGTCATTATGGAACCAGGTAGTTGAAATAACAGGGTCACAACCAACACAGAATTACAAGGTGAGATCTACACTAAAAAAACCCTTAACTCTATGACATAAGGGTTTTTCCCTGGAGACTCATAAAGAAAATACAAGATAGGTAGGTAGTGACTGCTGGAGTTGCCTATATATGACATAAGAACCAGTGAAACAAGCCAGAGAAAACCATGCTGACTAGGGAGAAGCATCCAAATGTAGGAGTAGGACTGTGTTTCTAAGGAGAAAATCGTGAAGGGATTAGATATTGTACTGGCTAAATTTAAATGACAACCACCAAGGAAAAAGATCAGATCATTTGTTTTTACATTATTGCAGGTGAAAGGATGCTGTGTTGTATGTAAGCAGATGGGTTTGTATCAAAGATGCACTCAATTCTGTCATCAGTTTCTCTTTGTAATAGAAATAACCTTTGGGACTGAATTTTGGCTAGCTGATGAAGTCCAGAGGGACTGATGCGCAGAAAATGAAGTGTGAAGTGTTTTGATATTTTTTTTTTCCCCTGGTAATTTACTCGAGTAGGTCACATCTGTGTCCTGGATCAATGTAGTCCTGGATACATGCTCCCGCCTAACAAAACAAAACAAAATGCAATGAAACCAAACAAAACAAAAAACCTAAAACCTAATCTAGGTACAGGGTACAAGGTGCTAAAAATAGATCTCCAGGGACAGATTTCTCCAGCCAGGCAGGCAGGGCACCACTGGAGTTTGTTCAGTCTGACAGGAACACTAAGCTCCTGAGATCAGCAGGACTAAAATTAGCTTTGGAACACTATTTTCTACCCTTATGCTGCTGCTTTTATATGAAATCTGTTGTTTATTGTTATAAACAACAAGAAAAGAATTTGGATTGAAGGCTTTTTTTTTCCCCCTTTCTTAAGGAGATTTTGAAATCCCTGGTCTTTGGAATGGGAGGTAAATTCAGTTTGGGAACGAAGTAATTGGTTATGTGTGCTCAAATTTTTTCTGTGCTAATGACAAAAAAAATCACAACACAAAAAATTTCTTCAGCAAAAGAAATGTAAACAGTCATGACTGATTTAATATTATATCCTTGGTGTGTGCTGTTACAAATACTTAATTTTAAAAGCAGTGAAACCATGAGCTTCTTTTATTTTTGTCTTTGGAAATGTGTGAATTGTTTGGTCGGTAGCTGTTTCTCTTACAAGGCTGAGTACTTCCCAGCACCTTCTGAGTAATTGTCTAGCTCTGATTTAGAGATCTTAAAACGTGGCTTTCTGAAGAGAGGGATTTTGTCTCACTGACTCTAGACCCTGACTGGGGAATAA